ACACACACACACACACACACACACACACACACACACACACACACACACCCCCTAACGGACATGCCTACAGGCTAACAGGATCTGGGTAAGTCCTCAACTGAGACTCCCTTCTTCGGCCATATAAAGCTGCCAGTTAAAGTAACCAGGGTGCTTACCTCTTGGTGGACAAGCCCAGTTCAGCATCCCTCTAAGGTTTCTGCTTTAAGAATTTACCCAGGAGGCTGGAGAGATGGCTCAGTGGTTAAGAGTACAGGCTGCTCTTCTAGAGGACCTGGGTTCAATTCCCAGCGCTTACACAGCAGCTCACAACTGTAACTCCAGTTCCAGGGGATCTGACACCATCATAACAATTCTTGCCCTGACTTCCTTCAATGATAGACTGTAACCTCTAAACTGGAATAAGCTCTTTCCTCTTCTAGTTTGCCTTTGGTCATGATATTTGTCATGGCCACAGAGAGGAAACGAGGACACCAGAGTACTTCTTTATACATTCCAATGTCTCAACTCAAAGTTTCTCAGATAAAGAGAAACCTACAGACACAGAATATTTTAGACGTTCTTAGGCATTTTACAATTGTGTATGTGATGTGCCTGAGTGAGTGTTGGTACATGTGTGTCATGGCTCATGTACATAGGTTAGAGGACAAGTCTCAGAATTGGTTTTCTTTCCTCCTTTCTATAGGTGCCAGGGACTGAACTCAGGTCACTGGGATTGTGTGCAAAGTGCCTTGTTCTGCTGAGACATCTTGCTAGTTCTTTGTTTGTTTGAGACTTGATTTATGTATCTCATTCTCGCCTTGAAAAGAGCTGAGAATGACCATGTTTTTAGCCATTTTAAGTCACCTTTCTTTTCTTTTACAATCTTTAAAAAAAACATTTGTGTGTGTGTGTGCCTATACTTGTCACCTTGGCGTGTTGTGAATGTGGATTCTTCCCACACAGAATATACACTGTCCTCTTTGAGTAGTGATACACTGTACATGGTCCAAATGGCAGCATACACAGATGAGGGTGGAAAAGAAGGTCCGGAAAGTAAGACAGCTTCATTGGTGCATGTGTAAAGCTCAGAGGACAACTTCTGGGAATCGTCTCTTTCTAGTTAAACTCAGGTTGTCAGGCTTTGGGGCAAACGCCCTCACCCCCTGAGCTGTCTTGCTGGCTCCCCCTTTCTTCTGAGATAGAACTTTCCTGTGTAGGCTAGGCAAGCCTTGAATTTTTGATCTTCTTGCCTTAGCAGGGTTTATAAGAGCTACATGTCCAGTCTTCAGACTTTTTCTTTTGATTTTTTGAGACAGGGTTTCTTTGTGTAGCCTTGGCTCTACTTGAAATCACTCTGTAGACCAGGCTGGCTTCCGCTTCCCGAGTGCTGGGATTAAAGGCGTGTGCCCCCACCGCCTTGCTAGACTTTTTAAAAACACTGCTAGGGATTAAAGCCATATTTTCACACATGGTAGGCAAGAGCACTACAACTGAGTTATAGTTTTACCTTTAACAACTTAGATTCTTACACATGTACTAACTGAATGAACAATTATTAGGTTATTACTTATTATAGACATTTTAAGTTGGCCCTATTAATGCCCACCCCAACTCCCTTTTTCCTTATCTGCTTCTTCCAGAGACCAAAAATCAAAGCCTGCATAATTCTAGCCAGTGAAATGGCAGTGATGTTTCCTGAGATTTTGGAGAGACTATGCCTTTTTTTTTTTTTAAACAAAACAAAACAAAACAAAAAAAAAAAACAACCACCACCACCACAGACTACAGCTCTATGCATTTCTCATTTGTCCTAGGTAACATTTTCTGTCACAGATTGGGTTTTGTGGAGAGCAGATGCTGAGACAGAAATGAGCATACACGGTGCTTGCTCCTAGGATCAACCTGTGAAGAGGAAATCAAGACGGAGAGCGAAATGTAGAGCTTTGCTGAGGTCTCAACAAAGCCTTCCACTGCTACAGTGAGCTGTGAGATAGTCCTTTGATTAGGACGCAGGCTGGTTCTGGCAGGAACTAACAGCCCAGGGTAGGTTCCTTCTCCCCCCACACCTCCCACCCGGCCCCCCATGGGGTTTCTCTGTGTAGCCCTGGCTGTTCTGGAACTCACTCTGTAGACCAAGCTAGCCTCAAACTCAGCTATCTGCCTGCCTCTGCCTCACTAGTGCTGGGATTAAAGGTGTGTGTCACCACCTGGCTAGGGTAATTCTTTCAGTGAGGTATTTACACAGGCTGGCAGCAGAGGGCTGGGGAAGTCCCCGACATTCCTAAATGGAGATTGAGGGGTTATCAGTATCCTCCATGTATTATGATAGATTTCACTTTTGGAAATATGAATACTTTTATTCCAAGAGTGACTTGAGAACTTCCCCACCCCTCAGTTTTGTTTGTTTGTTTGTTTTGTTTTGTTTTTGAGAAAAGGTCAGGATATATAGCCCACACTCACTGGTTTTGAACTACTGGCAATTTTCTTGTTTCAGCCTCCTGAGTGTGCGGATTACAAGCATTTGCCACCATGCCTGCTCACCTGGAAACTGTTCACTTAAGAGTCAATTCTCCACACTTACTGATAGTGGTGAACACACTGGTAAAGCAGAAATAGTCCACAGCATTGAGGGACAGCAGATGGTAGAGAAACTGCTCTCTTTCTTCTTCACAACGTAGAAAAGCATAACGCTTATAAAGCTTCCTGAAAAAGGTTAAGACAAGCACAAAAAAGAAGTTACAATATTCATTCTTAAAACTCATGATTTAGAATTAATAGCTTTCTGAGCCTGTGAGCTGGTTCAGTGGGTAAAGGCACTTGCTGCCAACTCTCATGACCTGAGACCCACATGGGGGAAGGAGAGAACACGACATCCAGGAACATCCATAGGTTATCCTCTGATTTCCACACATGCACCGTGGTGCTTGTATACATGCATTTGAACAAAATAAAAAACTAAAGATCAACTAATCAAACAAACAAAAAACCCCTCAAACCTGGGGCTGGTGAAGTAGTGAAGTGGTTAAGAGCACTGACTGCTTTCCAAGACATGGATTTGATTCCTAGCACAAACATGGCATTTCATAACTCTAATTCCAGTCCCAGGGAGTTGGGCATTCTCCTATGAGCTCCTGCGGCACTGTAAACATGTGGGGCACACACACACATCCAACATTCACTTCACCATGCAGGTGCTGGGATCTGAACTCAGGTGTGCTGAAGAGCTGTACTCGTAAGTGCTGAGCCATTCCTCTGGCCCCTTCTACTCTGTTTTTTTTTAGTGTTTCCATTGGACCTGGAGGCCATTGATTCAGCTAGAATGGCTGGTCAATGGGCTCTAGGAATCCCCCTGTTTGTGCACCAGCCTTCCACACCAAGGTGGGATTACAGGCTTGTGCTACCGCATCTGGCTTTTCTCTGTGTAGGTGCTAGGGATCTGAACTTGGGTCCTCATGCTCATACGGCAGGCATTTAATTGACTAAGCCATTTCTTCTGCTTCCATTTTTATTTTAATTATGCAGTCCAGGCTGGCCTCAAACTTGTTATATCGCGAGGATTATCTTGAATTTCTGGTCCTCCTGTCTACAACTTTAGAGTGCTGGGATTATAGGTATGTACCATCAGAACAATAATTTGGTCTTTGGCTGTTAAATCTGGTGTGCTCTCTCAGAAATAATCAAACATTCTACAAAGGTATTTTCTTTTTTGAGAGTTAGTATGTACAGTGTCCTGCCTGCATATCAGAAGAGGGCACCAGATTCCATTAGAGATTTGTCTGTGAGCCACCATGTGCTGGGAACTGATCTCAAGACCTCTGGAAGAACAGCCAGCGTTCTTAGCCTCTGAGTCATCTCAGCAGTCCCACAAAGATATTTTCTTATTTTCTTTCTTTCTTCTTTTTTTTTTGTTTTTGTTTTTGTTTTTGTTTTTGTTTTGTTTTTTTCGAGACAGGGTTTCTCTGTGTAGCTTTTGGAGCCTGTCCTGGAACTTGCTCTGTAGACCAAGCTGGCCTCGAACTCACAGATATCTGCCTGCCTCTGCCTCCCGAGTGCTGGGATCAAAGGCATGCGCACCACCGTCCAGCTTTTTTTTTTTTTTTTGACAAAGATATTTTCTAAAGCACACCTGTTATAAAGAATGCACATGTTCATGAATCAGGATTTATGATGAAAGTGCTAGTTTGTCAGTTTATTTAATTTCCTTTGTAAGCACAAGTCACAGAAACAAATGTCTTGAAAAGCAGAGTCTTACTTGGTCAGTGGTTGGTTAGAGAGCAACTGCTTGAGATGCTGAGACAAAAGCTTCTTTTCTAGAGACAATCTTATCCATGCCCGGGCTCGGCCAACATCAGTCTTGATCTCACTCATGTTTTGAACATGCCTAAAAATCAGTACCAACAAGAAAATTTATTTTGCATTTAAATACATTTTGTTTTTAGACAACCTATATGAAATGATTTTTTCTTTAAATAATGTATCCCATTCAATTCAAATAAATCACAGTCAAAATAAAAGTTCAAAATGACATCAGTCCCCTTTTTTTTGACATCAGTGTCTTTTTTTTTTTTTTTTTTTTTTGAGACAGGGTTTCTCTGTGTAGTCCTGGCTGGCCTCAAACTCACAGAGATCCCCCTGCCTCTGCCTCCCAAGTGCTGAGATTAAAGGTGAGTGACACCACCACCCAGTTTAGTCCCCTTTGTCCTAAGTTCTGGTGTTACATGATGACAAGCAATACCCAGTCATGGGGAGGAAGACAGGCCAAAAATTACTGTCCAATTTGTTAACATTTTTCCATTTCTAAATTATCCTTAAAGAAAGTCATATATAGGATCACACCTACTTTACAGTAGTTTAGGAGAGCAACCATGCCATCTAGATTCATGGTTTTTTTTTTTTTTTTGGTTTTTCGAGACAGGGTTTCTCTGCATAGCTTTGCGCCTTTCCTGGAGCTCACTTGGTAGCCCAGGCTGGCCTCGAACTCACAGAGATCCGCCTGGCTCTGCTGGGATTAAAGGTGTGCGCCACCACCGCCCGGCTTTAGATTTATGTTTTTACAAATAAAAAACTGGTAACTATTGAAATTAGCAAGGATGTGCTTAATTTGCTCTTTATCCCCAGTCATAAAAGACTAGGAGAGATTTTTTTAAGGATAACTTTAAGCTAGAAAAGAACCAAAAAGTATTAACTATACTGGGCCCAGAAAAGCTCTTTTATATTTTTAGATGAAGAATGGGTAATACACATTTTTTTGTTGTTTAATTTTTGAGACAGGGGATCACTATTTAGCCCTAGCTGGCCTGGGACTCATCATGTAGGCCAGGTTGGCCTCAAACTCACAGATCCATTTACCTCAGCCTCCCAAGAGCTGGGATAAAAGGCATATTTCACTATGCCTAGCCTGGGTAATATATTTTTTTGTTTGTTGGTTAGTTTTGTTTTTCGAGACAGGGTTTCTCTGCATAGCCTTGCCTGTCCTGGAACTCTTTGTAGACCAGGTTGGCCTAAAACTCAGATATCTGCCTGTCTCTGCCTCCTGGGATTAAAGGCATTCATCACCACTGCTGTAACACACATTTTGAGGGCAGGTTAAAGCTTCTCAGATTCAGCTATCAAATGGTTTTGTTTTTATTCTCTTGGCTAGTCTGGAACTCAAGATTTAGTTGCACATCAGAACTGACATTTCATTGGGCGTGGTGGTACACGCCTGTAATCCCAGCACTCAGGAGGCAGAGGCAAGCAGATCTCTAAGAGTTCCAGACTAGCCAAGAGAATAAAAACAAAACTATTTGATAGTCAAGTTGCATTCTGTTTGTTTTGAAGATTTTAATTATGTGTGCATATGGAGGTGGAGGGTGTATCTTTGCACATGAGTTCAGGCGTTCAAAGAGCCCAAGAAGACAGTATTAGATTACCTAGGGCTGGAGATGCAGACATTGCAAACTGCCTTGACACAGGTGCTGGGAACCAAGCTCAGGTCCTCTGCAAGAACACTATAGACTGGGACTGAGAGCACTGACTGCCCCTCCAGAGGACCTGGGTTCAATTCTCAGCTCCAACATGGCGGCTCACAGCTGTCTATAACTCCAGTTCCAAGGGACCTGACACCCTCACCCAGACATACACACAGGCAAAACACCAATGGACATAAAATAAAAATCAATCAATTAAATTTTACACACACACACACACACACACACACACACACACACACAC